GACATGATATGACATACAGGTATAAAAAAAATTAGATTTAAGCATCTAATTAAAAAAATAATTACTCTGACTGAGAACTGAGGGCATATTAATAGAGCAGCAAAAATAGGTAACTTTTAAAAGCTACATACCATGACTCTGTGTGTGACAATTCACATGTATGAATTGAAGGAAAGTACGCAATGTGGCGTTAACGTCGGGTCCTGATTGATCAGGATCATTTCTAATTATAATTAACAAATGAAATTGCGCTTGTACTCCTGCTGTAGATATTTGCTGACCTCAGAGGAAAGACTCCTACAAACAGCTGGAAGCAACAAACTGAACTTCAACTCCTGTTAATGTTTAGTTAAAACCTTAGTAATATTCATTTATCGGACCTGTTACAGGCTCTGTCTTCATTGCAGTAAGGTTTTCTGCAATTTTTATATTTAAATTACTTACATATTAAGCAGTGTATAGATAATGGATGGATGTGAAATTATAGAGCAAAGTGAATGACAAAAATATTTTGTGATTTTGAGGCTCTTTTGCTCTTTGTGATGTTTTTTTGATCAATAGTGGTGAAATGTGGGGGGAAAAAACCTTCCTCTTCACACAACTTGACGTATGTAGATTGTGCTTTCGTTTTCTGAAAGTGATACAGAAATGTGACTAGGTATGACTTTTATGGAAAACTGAGCAGGCTGCTCATTCAGACATGAACCTGACATGTTTGGGGGGGTTATATACTATACAAAGACTGGCTTTCAAACCCATGCTTTTAGGTTCAGGCCTTAAACTTCAGATTTGAGGTAAGCACAGAAAAATTGTCACAGCCTTCTACTGTCAAACTCTACACATTCATCATTCTGCACCGTGAAGCTCAGACATCCAAGTCAAGTGACAATAAGGAAAACTGATTTTTGAGTGCATCTGATGCCACATCGATCACATAGCTACACAGTGCTAGTTTTCAAGAAGACGGGGAGCAAAGTGACTGCAAGTAATTCATGTCAGATAGGAGTGAACAGCATCATTTGTTGTACAACCATGTTTTGAGTGGTGTCATTTAAGTAGTTTAGGAATCTTTCAGTCACTCATTGCTCCAGCATCAAAGCAAGAATCTGTTATAGACTTACTACAGTAGGTTATTCAGTCCCTTCATGTGTCCACCACTTCCTGAAGACATTCCTGGAAACTTACCCTGACCTAAAGCCACGTCTACCGACTAACATGTATCGACTTACATTACAGACTTGCTTTGTGTCCCTGAAAGTGACATGAATCCTTTCATTGTGACTGTAAACCCATTTATGTCCCCACAACATGAGTAATACAAGTACACACACACACTCACACGGAGCTCTTGCGTTTTGCGCTATGATATTCCTCACACACACAGCAGCCTCCGAGGAGGCCAGGCAGCTGTCAGGACTTTTGTTCAGTCCTGCCATCTGCCAGTTACATGTGAGTGGAAGTGTGTGTGTGTGTGTGCATGTGAGGTGTAGAGATGTGCAGCGGGGCACCACTGTGTGTCTGATTGACACTGACTACACACTCAACCACTCTGCCCTACTTGAACGCTCCCAATGTATGGAGAGAGCACACCCATTTGCCAAGTATTAACCTCTGTCAGTTCACTGTCCTGAGCTGCTTCTCCTCACCCATCATGGCCGTGAGTCCTGCAGGCAGCTGTCCAGCAATCTCATTTATCTCAGCTGCCTGTTAAATTGGGTTGCTGGAAACAATAAGAGAGAGTCTTGTTACATCGCAATAGCTTGGAGATCCATGCTTTCTCAGGTAAATCATCATTTAAATTGATTTTTTTCCCCATGATCAACCTTTTGTTAAACTACTTTCTTCAGTAGTTTAGAAAAAGCAAGATTACCTGTAAGACATACACATATAAAACCCCAACTTTAGTGACATTTTGCTGTGATGTGTTGAACACTGCTGCATTATCTTGTCATTTCAAAACAGTGCCACATGCTGAAAATAGAGGAAAAACTAAAGGAAAACAAAAAAGATGAGAAGAATATCACATTAGACATAATTTAAAATGTTGCTATACAGTGTAGACATAGCGTATATTTAGACATAGAGTGTTTTTGAAGAGTCTCAGCATTAAAATATTGCATAGTATATAAACAATGTACATAAAGGCTATAATCAGGGAGCAGTCAGTGGTCACTTTGTGCATTTTTATATTGATACTTCACTTTCTTTTTGTGGCAAATATTGTTACTTTCACTCCACATTTAGTTCCTGACTGTAGGACTACTGGACTATAGTAGTAAATTAAGTGGTATGTAAAGTCACCCTCCATGAAAATAATCCCTTCCTGCCTTAAAATGGCTTACATGTAACCCAGCACTGTTTGTTTCTTCAATATGTGGAAATCTATGAAGTCCCTGCCTCTTTGTCCACTTACCTCGCCCTACTCGCTGCAGCTCAAGCATGCCAGCTCACCTCTAAGTCTGCTCAAATGCTGTACAGTTATTGTAGGCTACCAGCAAGGTGTAGTATTGGAGAATTCAGTCATACATGTTCAAACCAGAAACCAGTTCTGAAAAAGAATAATGATAAAGAAAGCTCCTCCCTTCAAGTTGGCACGGTTGGTTCTCAAGGTTTGTTACATGAAACCCTGAAAGTCTGAATCTGTGTTATTGAGTCTCTTATCATACAATACATTTTCCCTGACCTGCTGACATGATCTTTGTTCTAGGATATAAAAGACACCATATGTGCAGTCATCAGTTTTGAGATTGTGATAATATACTGTAAAATGTGTCGGTCATGTTTCTGCTTAAGACCTGCGTTGGCCTTGGATGCTCAGGATTAAAATGGAGACGGTGTTGCTGCCTAATCTAACATTATGCACTCTTTTATTTGATCCCCCCCCCCAGTTTTTCTCATACAGTTTTGGAAGGTCAGTTCTCTATGTATTGCAGCCTTTGTCTCTGGTATTGCTATTCCACCGTGAACTCTGCCTGGTTCTGTGATTGACAGGAGCTTTACTTCTGTCACTCATACATCTGTGTTTGGTTTTCCTAGAACCATGTAATTCTACATTTGAGAACGTAGTCCTGTCAAGTACACACATATTGCTATTGTATAATCAAGTATATTAAAATCATAAAATTGTTCACTCTTAACTTGATACAGTTGTTGACACAGCATTCTCTTATTAAAGTCTTCTTCTGAAGATCTCACTTTTCATCACCAGATAAAGTTGAGAACACTTCTGTTGCCATGTTTGCTTGAAGGTTGAGTTTGACAGCTCATTTCTGATTTTGGAAACAGCAGCTGACAGGACAATCTCAACTCAAAATCCACTTTCTTGTTTGTTCTGCAGTGTTCGACCGGGTCACACAGCCTCCATCAGAAAAAAAAAACCTAATTTCCTGCAACTCAATTTCACGTTTATTTTTAAGGCTTCACTCATTAGTGGTTATATTGTTGTAGATGATGTGCGCTCATCTTTCTCCTAATGGGTCTCCTAACAATGACTCACTCTCAAAGGCACTTCAATTCTGCAGGCTTCTTTATTTTCAATATTACTTTAGTTTTAATTTATCCAAAGCACAGAGGAGTGTCTGGAAACTAAATCAACTCTGAGCTGCAGATCCCTGATCTGCTTCTACTTCTTCATAATTTTCAGTTACACTAAGAACAGACTGTCACAACTAATCTCAGAGATAAATTGCATGTGTCACCTTTCAACTGTGTCTCTTTTTACGAAAAGTTAAACGGTTGTGATTATAGTTATTACAAACGGTAAAATCGACTCTGGTGCTACAACGCTGAAGAGGCAAGAGGAGAGAGGAATGGGCAGGGAGGGTATAAATACAACAAGTGAGGATTAATCTCCATTAGACAGTAATTGCCATCAGCAAGAGGTTTTTAGAGATGTTAATATGGGAAGAGAGAAGGGTAAGAGACAAAATACAGAAGTAGTTGTCCTGGCACTGATACATGTCCTCATCAAAAGCTATTTTCTCTCAATTAATACAAGATTTGATAGCCTGTGATTAATCCACATTGCCCAGCTCAGCTCTCTCAATGGTAACAATGTAAATTATTACTTCAAAATGGAGATTACGGCTCCCGCATTATCATCTCCCTTGCATTTTTGTGCACCATTAGTCTGTAAATTGGATTTGAAGTTTTCCCTGCCTCTGATGGCGTCTGGATGATATTCATATTAATTGTTAAAATCATCTCATCGTCTTACCATAAACTGTCTGAAGCAGGGGATCCATTAGCACAAATGTAATAATATTCCGTTTCCCCAAAGCCAGGAAGCAGTGGAAACATCTTCCACAACAAAATGTCAGTCCTCCCACAGTTATTGCTGCATTCATCCTTCTCGCTGCACAATTACTGCACTGTAACTCCAAAAACTAATATATTTTTATGATTCTGCACAAATAATGGCGCTAAGTAAGAGCCCATGAGAGCAGCTATTGAGACTGATTGCTCGCCAGTTGTTTGTGTACAAAGCTGCGGCATGGGGCTCGAAAGCCTCCACAGATAAGGAAAAAGTCCTGAGATAAAGAGCTTTCTCACCAGGCTCAAAGTTTCATACTGTATTTTTTTTTTCAATAACTCTGCCAGAGCCTTAATATCCTGAGTTATGACTCCACTGCTCTAAACCATCAAAATGCTGCTGTGAAATTACCCATGGCTGACTGTTAGTGAAATTACCCAAGTCACCTTGATACCACGCCACCTCGCAAACATCACAATTAAATAGCAAACGACTGCTGTAAAACTGCCAGCCACAAAGTTGCCATTTCACTGCGTCACATCTGTACTGCCTTGGAAGGAGCAAATCACAGTACGCTGTCATGTTTTTCCATTCTCCATAATCGTAATGCAAGCTGTTAGAGATGTGTAGGGAGCATTTAACCCCCCAGACCTTCTTTTATATACCCTCTCAGGGAAGTGCCTCGCTCGGTAATAACCACATCTCTGTTTTTTTTTTTTGTTTTTTTTTTAATTGCCTTGTTTTACAGCAGAGGAGAAGAGCGTGAAGAGTGCTGTATTATCATCCGTGGAACAGCTGGGAATCAACATCTGTCTCAGGTATGTAAAGTAATTTTCTGTAGCTCATAAACCCCTATTTAATCAGTCTTCTTATAGAAGCAACTAGGGACAGAAAACCTGCTGTGTACAAACTGTTTTAATGAAGTATTATAATGACTGCAGTCCAAGATTCATGTAAATAACTGCTCCAAAGTATCCACTCTGAAAACACCCTGGAATGAAAAATGGAAGAAAAAAGTGCTCATGTAGACGTACCTGACTTTCCTGGTTCAGTTTAAATGTTTGGTTGTGTATTTTTCACATTTGGTGAATACCAGGTGTCAGATAAACTACATGCACAAATGCAGAGATACATAAGACTTCTAAACTGTGTGTTGCTCCTTTTAGAAATGTCACTCATTGGGTGACATTGTGCGCACTTACTGAATTTTTGCTTCCATAATTAGGCGCTGTTGAATGTAGATGTGGCCTTCATCACCTGTTTGCATATGAATACCTTTTTCTCCTTCACTAGTCTCAAGGTCTAAGCCCCGAAAGTGACTCAGTGAGGCTTTTCTCTGGCATTTTGAGCTAAATGCTGACACCCGTGACTCACAATGATAATGACTTGCTGATGTTTAGAAGGCATAAAGTTTACAGTCTCAGTTTAGCACGTTAGGATGATGACACTGGCTAATTAGCGCTAAAAACCAAGGACGGGATGGGAACTAGGGCGTGAGATTGGTATTAACACTGACAGGGACATTTTACATGTCAAAGACACAAGACAAAGTATTCTGCGTTCAATGGTTTGTGCAACATGTAGCAGCTCTTAAAATGTGCAGGACTTGTATTACGTGAATTTAACTGCTGCTTTATTTTAACCAGCTGTCTGCTGCAAATCATGTTCCCCTCTAAACCAAAAAAAGTATGTGGGTGTTTTGTTTTGTTTTTTTAAATTTAAAATCCTGCACCTAAATGGAAACAGAAAACAGTAAAACAAGGGTACAAGTAGGCAAAACTAATAATTCTCTTTTGTGCAGTATAACAACAACTACAAGGTATAATGGCAGAAATCATAAAAGAAGGAAGGAAGGAAGGAAGGAAGGAAGAGTTGGATGTTTGCTTTTTTCTTTTTTATTTTTTGAAACTTGCAAAAGCAAAACAACAACAACCTTGAATGGACATTTACAATGTTTTTCCAAGTGTCCAAAGGTGTTGCCGATACTGGAAAGAAAATGGTGGCTCTACAGACTATAGATATCTTACTAACTCTTACCTACATTCTTAATTAGTTTCCATCCAGTCTCCTTTGCTATGTGTAAACACAGAATGCAGTTCAGCTGAAAAGTAACTTACTTTTTGTCACATGACTTTTGGTGGCATCTTAGTCATTAATGACTTCTTGATTGCAACGAGGACAGCAGATTTTGTAGTTCATTACAAGTTACTGCTCATTGGGATTTTTCTTTTAATTCTTTAAATTTAGAATAAAGTGCTTTTAAAGCTTAATTTTAAGATTAATTTGGTTGTTTTTTTTTAAGGTGAAAATGACTAGTTTTTGGTCCGTTGGAAAGCTGATAAGTTGACGATTCTTCCTGATTTCACACTTTTACTGTTCAGATTAATGGTGTCACTTTGGGGATATGTTTAAAGAACGTGTTTTGAGGTTGTTTGCGTTAAACCTAGATTCTGTAAGTTTGTCCTTAAAATTTGTTTGTGGATTCACCGATCAGGTCAGATGAGATAGTAAAATTAACTGGATGTAGTGGTGCAAATGGCTAGATGGAGGACTTTTGGGAGGTTGGGTTTGAATCCCAAATAAAGCTGTAAATGAATGTTGACTTTTAACTTGACCATGTTTGCTCATCTAGTGGGAGTGGCTTCGAACAGAGAGGGACGAGCTTTTAACCTACATTTAAATGTTCTCAAAAATTCATTTTCCCACTGTTATTTTTAAATAAGCTGAGGAACTTAAGACCACTAATTCAACAAAGACATCAGAGCTTTTCTGTGAGATCAGTCTCAACATAGCAGTGAACTAGAAATAATACACACCAAAGATGAAAAGGGATGAAAGTGATTTCTGAAGAAATGGGAAAAAAAAATGTTTCCTTTAGAGAGACAGGAGATTGAGATGGAGTTCAGCAAAGGATGCTGAGTGTTTCCCAGTTCAGCATCTGAACACACCTTTGTTGGCTGTTTATCAGAGGATTCTGAAAGCCCAGTTGAAATGGTCTGTCCATACGTTTTTTTGTTTTTTGTTTTTTTTTTACCACTAGGTAGACTTTGTCAGAGAAAACATTCTGCAGAATACACATGCAGGAATATCATTTTATCATTATTACCCTGTACTCCTACACGAGTACTGGACTCCCACCCTTGTCAAAGGTATGTAAAGGTTCTCCTGGTGTTCTGTTTGCACTCTAATGATATTATGTAAGTAGACCTCCTGACTTAGGTTGCTATTAAGATCCTGCTCATTTTATGTCTTTAAACACAACCTACTGCTGCATTTCATAGTGGATATAGCTATGGGGTGCTTTGCAACTGCACACTCTCCGAGCATGTTCAGAAGAAGGAGTACCGTGTTTGCATTTTGGTATCAACATAACACATTGTGAGTGTTACCCACCGAGCACCGCGTCTTATAGGATTAAAAGTTGTTGGACATGAATTTATAATTAATCCTTGACTTACAAATGTCAGACTTGCTGAGTAAAATCTTACCACGCTGGACTTGTTGAATACAGTTTTGATGAGTCCTTCTGGGTATTTGCTTTGGGCCTCAGTGTTGCTTTTTCTCTCAGCTTGGTATAAAATTTCCCGTTGTGCAATGTGACTTTCATTCGAGTAGTAGACAGGGATTAGGGGAATAGAGGAAAAAATTGTAGCTGTGAGAAACGATCATTTACAAAGTAAAATTTCCACAGTAATATAGGTATGTAATTTAAAACAGTGGGGGAATAAAAGGATATGCGATTCTGTTGAACAGAAATGGAGCCGTAATCTGAATATTCAGAGTTAGAATGGAACAAAGAAATTCATTTAGGATTTGAACATGCAGGTGAAAATGTGAGAATTCTGTCTGTTTTGTCTTATATTCACAGATATGGCAGCTACCTGCAGCTATTGAAAGAAGATGCTGTGGATGACCTGACGCTGCTAATGAAGCACATAAAGATCTTCTTGTCCACACAGAGAGCTAAAACATCATCAGAGCTCGGTATCCTTCACAGAGCCTCCATCCCGTAGGCATTCATGTACAGTAGGTAGACATACTGTGGCTTAAAGGTATTCTCACCTTTGACATTGTTCCCATTTTGGGGCTACGCTTTTAAATTTATCATAGAGATCCCACCTGAACCTTAAAATGAATGAATTAATTTCTTACTATGATTACATCCAGTCCATGATATAAATATGTTTAGAAAGTTGACTGAAAAGTGACTTCACCAAACTTGTTTTTCTCACATTTCTGGGAACCAAAATGTGCAAAACTCAGCTTGTCACTTTGCCACCCAAAATTAGCTTTTGTATAAATGAAATGAAATGACCAAATTAGTTATATTTTAGCTGTCATCTCACCAACATGCTGACTAAAAGATCAGACTGTACTGTTACTGTCTAAGATATCTCATACCTTGACATGCTGCAACACGGTGTTACTCCACTACACAGAGGCTGCAGTCGTTGTGCATTTATGCCGTGGCAGCAGCATTGGGCTGATAACTCAACCGGCCTCCCTCTGCAAGAGAGCAAAGGAGAATCCGATAGTATCCATCTTTGTCTGATCAGCACAATACAGATTATCTTACTCCATCTGTGTCTCAGTGAAAAGCATTCAGTGTTCTTTTGTCCCAAATAGCATTTGATAGGCCTCCTTTCTCCTTCAGATAGTTTCCTTTGTAAGTGGACAAGTGAACATTAAAGCCCTGAGTGGAGATAAAGTCTTTACAAATATAAAACACCGACATTTTTATTGTAAAGGAGCTTTGATACTGACACTACACTGACATTTGAACGAATATGAAGAAGATGGTTGTGAGAATCTTAGCAGTCAAATGGCATTTTAGCTGATTATAGATTCATTCTAATGCTTCTGCAACACAAAAACATGTTCCTTATATATTTGTGAGTAGTGAGAGGAAGATTTATCCAGCTTGACCAGGTGCAAACTGCACTGCACAGTACTCAATACTATATGAAGAAACATATCCTTGTAGTTTTAAAATAGATGTCATCCTAGTGCACTGAAACAATTCATAGCTTTTAAAATCCTCCAAAACCTTTAGTTCCTCATCTGAAGTAAGGAAATAGAAAACAAAGCCCTAAAAGAGAGAGGAAGCTGTTTAATTAAATCAATATTTTAGTTGAGATTTTCCAGTTTCATTCATGTTATTGGGTGGCAGTAGATCAAAACGCTTTTCTTTTCCTAGGGGATCCTGCTTTATTTATAATTCTTTATTTAAAAATGATGTCTTGACAGATTGTATTACAAATGGATGAGGCTTGTCTGTCAATCACTTTCAAAGGGCATGCATTTGTTTTTAGAGGGTTGAGACAGTGGTTGAGCCGACCAGCGCGTCCTGTTGCGTCATGACAATAGCACATGTCAAGAAGTGGGATGTATTGGGCAGCAAATGAACAGTCAGTTCCCCAAGTTGATGTGTTAGAAGCATAATAAATTGTCAAATGTAAGAACTTTGAAAAGGATCAAATCGTGTTGGTGAGATGACTGGACCAGAGCACCTTCAAATCAGCAGGTCTTGTGAGATGTTCCTGGAATGCAGCGGTTAGTACCTACCAAAACTGATCCAAGGAAGGACAATGGGTAAACTGGCAGAAGGGTCGTGGTAACTCAAGGCTTGTTGTTCGGACTATTTAGTGAAAAGCTACTGTGAAAATTGCTAAAAGAAAAAAAAAAAAAGTCTTTCACCAGTCATTGATTTACCTCTAAAACTCCTCTCTGTGTAACGAAGTTATATATTAAGCAGTTTCTTCCCATGAAAACAATCTCTTCCTGCCTGAAAATGCCTTAGATGTAACTGTATATGGTCGCTTCCTCTTGAATTTGCACGATCTGCAGCTTTCAGAATAATATTTAAACCACTGTGACCAACATTTTCTGCCTCTTCCTTTGAGCTTCTGGTGGGGCCATCCTGCATTTTCTTTTGCTGATTTCCAGCTGGGTACCGATGGCACTCTCATTAAGCATCAAGATATCTTCTTGTAGTCTCGTAGTTCTTTCTTTGCTGAAGGCCTGTTATGTAGATCCTGTGAAAGAAAGGAGGAAAAGGACAAGGTCTAATAATTATTATCTCCAACGCTGTATGAGGTCCTTTCCTCTCTCCTCACACACCCCTTTGTACTTCCTGCAGCTTGAGCACACAGCTCACCTACAACTCTGCTCAAACACTGTAAAAATACTCCTAATGCAATACAATGGCGAGTTTAATACTGAAGTAACTCACCCATGCATGTCTGAACCAGACTAATTCTGACGAATAACAATGATATAGAAAGTCCAACCCTGCAATCTGACAGAATTGATTCTTTAGATTTGATACATATGAAACACTGGCAGTCTGAATTCATGTTTTTGAGACTGTTATCAGTATACTACAGTGTGGATATACAAATACTTTAACTGCTTAATTCACTCATGATATGCATTCCAGCATTTAAAAAACACCACAGGGACCTGTTAACAGGGTAGCAAACTGGATTTTTACTGGAGTAGTACATTAGAATGCAATCAAAAGAGGACTGAAAACAAATAGCAATTTTTCTATTATGACATTTTAACGTCACAAAATCCAAGTAAATGAAAGCTATTCAAGCAATAAATGAAATAAATACCAGTAGCGTTGACTTTATCTATTTATTAGCTTTTCCCCAGGGATCCTAGCTGAATAGAGTTGGCTCAGTTGTTGTGGAGATAGATAGCTGACGTTTTTAGGACTTGTTGTGTTGTCTTAAAGGTTTGCCATGAACTGCAAACTTTCAAGATAGTTAACAGTTAAACATATTACCAGACCTGTTATTGGTGTAGAAACAACTGCAGACATACATACATCAACAAAAGCATAAACATAAAACTGATTCTGTCTTTACTCCTACATTTAAAGAAAAAATACCATTTATAATACATATGTAATACTAAGATAGAATGCTCCATCTCTACTAAGTCTTCCAGTAATTTGTTTGAGGCAGACATATTTTGTAACATATTTTGCATGTTACATTACATTTAGGGGACATTTCGTGGAGAAACTGCAAACCGAATCACGTCTGTGTGCATTCAACTGAAACCAAAATTAAAGGTTGACAGTGTTTAAAGGCAACAACTCAGCAGAAAGACATAAAAAGCAGCAAGTGTCGATAGCCTGGGGTTGTTTTCTGGAGTCGAGCCAGATTGTGCTCTCACTCCCGATTAATCGCTGCACAGTTCTGCTGGAACAGGACAGAGACTTGCATATCAGTGCAGTTATTCATTGCCAGCAGGGTTTGAATGAAATTATCAAATGTCTAAATGAACTGAATTTAATGAGTAAATGCTGCAGAGCCTAAATAATCCACTTGAGATGTAATTGATGGAAGAAAACTTTAGGTTACTAACCTCGGAGCCTCATTATGAATCCTATTAGGGTTTTTGTTTGTTTGTTTGCTTGTTTTTCTTTTCAGTCTTGTTGTGATGGTGTTCGCATAGCAGAGCAGCCACTCTTACTCACAAGAGTCGCGCTTGACTCCTAATACCTTAAAATCACAAAAACAAACCTGCCTACCCACTACTGTCCATGCAGAGAGGCCTAGAATATGTCTGTTTTATGCTTCTTCATCCTATAAATTCACATTCAGATACTGTAGCCAGAATTGGATCTTTGCAGCTATGAGATATTGGCCTGATGTATCAGGGTTAATTGACTGTCAAAGCATTACTCGCTCTGTGGTTGACACTCAGTGGCATCGGTATCAGTTGACAGAAAAGTGGTATTAGCTTAACGCTTTATTTAACACAGCATAAGGGATCAGTTTCTTCTGACACGGAGAATTCTTTAGAATACAAACAAAGTCGGTGAATTTCAGCTGTGAAATACAACACTTGTATATCTAATTATGTGGTTTTAATGAATTCAAAAACCCCCGCTGTAGCTCTGTATATCATTATGTAGAGTTAAAAAAAATAAATAAATAAAACGCATAAGCAATTACTTAATTCAGATTGATTGTTGTATGTAAAGTAATACATTCCTTTGATTATTAATTAGTGTTACTCTTTAAATTTGCATTACAGCATATGGAGGCTTACTGCGTGTGAAAGTAAAATGAGAAAAGCTTCTGCTCAATTTGTTGCCTTTCAACCACTTCCGCTGTGTTTGTTTATCATTGCTTTGAGCTAGAATCATTGTTTTTTTTGTATCTTTTCTACTCGTCCTGCGGCTCTTTAACTCTGCCCTCCAGTCACTCAGCAGGATGGTTATCCGGGTCACGACTGGCTGGCCTCCACAGTTTTTCTCATCATGGCTGGAAACATGGACCAGTCTTTACGTTTGTTACTTAACCTCTCCTCTCTGCTTGTCTCCGCTTTCATCTGGCCCGCAAGGATACACGCATCTGTGAGTACAATGGCAACCAAGTACAGTACCGTGTATTTATATACAGTGAGTGATAGAAATTCTGCAGTGACTTTACCCATTTGTCATACCTAATCATCATAAAGAGCATCGTTGTTGTGGTTTGTGAGTTGTGCAGTAATGCTTGTGAATTCACCTGAATATTTACTAGTACTTATTCCTTGAAATGTTTAATTGAAAATTGAGTTGAAACAATTACTTAAGCTGTT